CTAGGGATTATTGATAATTCTGTATCAATCCCTATGATAGTAGACTTCCTTCTTCATCCACGTCAAGACAATAAATTCAGACACGGGACGATAGAAGATTACGGATCAGCCCTTCATTCTGTACTTCAACATGATGGATTATCTATCGGAAACCATCCCATCCTCATCAGATTAATGGATTCCTTTCTACTAGAAGATATTAGGACCACTCGTATCTTCCCCAAGTGGAATCTATCTGGGGTATTATCGGCACTGTTAACGGAACCTTACGAACTCATGGCGAAGGCTACCCTACTTCAAAAAGCCAGGAAAACATGGTTTCTGATGGCCATGGCAACAGCAGCAAGAGTTTCGGAGTTACATGTCTTAGACTATTCTGGTCTTACCCATGATCAGCATTGGACTTTTATAACTCTAAGATCGCTCCCAGAATTCGTAGCCATGAACCAATCTACCACAATGGGATCGTTGGGTAATAGACGCAATACATACAATCCCGGCGTTTGGACCAACAGTGGATCAACCAGACAGACTCTTATGTCCCATCAGAGCTCCCAAGTTCTGTCTCTCGGCTACAGACCCACATAGACGCCATCAAAGGAGACTCTTTCTATCCTGTAAGAACAACTCGAGCAATGATATCACAAAGGCTACTTTAGCAGGATGGATGAAGGCCACAGTTGCACACAGCTATACACAGGCTCAGAATTCCACGCGAGGATCCGACACCAGGAGCATCTGAGGGTAAGTTCACCCTTGATTACTCTGCTTTATAGGTATAGGATGGATCAGAAGCACCTTAAATCTCATCTATCACCATCAACCGGAAGTAATAAAGGAACCGAAAGTGACGTCTGCACCGGAAATAGCTGAACAAAGTCCTTCTAACCAGGAAATGACGTCGTTACCAAAAAAAGGAAGTGATGTCATAGCCGGCAGTGACGTAATCGCCGGTAATATAGGTCACTAATCCAGGTTTTTTATGGTCAAAATCAGCAAATATGACGGTAAATCTGGTGAAGTATCACATATTTAAATTGATTATTGACAGTTTCTGATTTTCAAGTCCTCAAGGGGAATTTAAGGGGAAATTATCTCAGTAGGATTGGAATCAGCACATTATGGTGTCCAGAAAAGGATTGCTGTTAATTACACAGGAAGTTTCTAGAGGCAGATCCCACCGCGGTCCCTCTGGTATATTCTGGCAGATATGTAATAGAGGTAGAAGTGTCGTAAGAAGTATCGAACAATAGTTATCATTGTTAATAATTCTAAGAATACTACCTCTATTACATACGAATTACCCCCTCCCACCTCCCCAATTCTTCTACCTCAAGTAAGGACCCGTGAAGATTCAGGGGTAGAGTAGGTCTTCAGCAACCCATGCTTGCCGTAAAAGGCGACTGTGCTTGTCGTAAAAGGCGACTAAAGGGATCGGGTGGTCAGGCTCGCTGACTTGGTTGATGCATGTCATCGATCCCAATTGCGTGGATCGATGCTCATGATATCAATCACTGGATTGTCTGGTCCAGACTCGATTATTTACAGACCGCCGCCATATAGCTGGAATATTGCTGAGTGCGGCGTTAAACAACAAACCAACAAACTAACCAACCTAAAGTAGGAGATGAGGAAAAAAACCGAGGTTGCCGCCATTATGACGTCATTGCTTGGGTAGTTACGAGACTACTTGGCGACAACTAGTTGTGTGTAATTGATAGTGAAGAGGACGTCTGTTGAAAATCTAAAAAATTTAGTTGGTGTGATTGAAGCCAAAATTAAGGATTTATGGCAGATATGTAATAGAGGTAGTATTCTTAGAATTAGTAACAATGATAACTATTGTTCGATATCGATACTCTTGATGTCAATCACTGAATTGTTTTGTCCAGACCCGATTATTTAAAGAACGTCGTCAAAAGGTTTGAATATTGCTGAGTGTTGCGTTAAACAACAAACAAACATAACAATTGTCATCAAAAGCTGTGGGCCAAGATGATGACAGATAAAGAACATCAAGGTTGATGACGACGACAATAACAGGAAAGTGTATGTTCACTTAAAGGTCACATTGGCGGGGGTAGATCTGTGTCCCATATACAGTAATGGCACATAATGTAACATTGGTGGCAAGCTGTAGCTACGTGAGGACAAAGACGTCATACATATATTTAGTGGTCAAATGTCAAGTGAAAATCTGTTGTCTTGGGCTTGGAAAGACAATATTCACTAATGACAGATGGTGTAGAATATTGTGACAATCCTACCAAAATCTTTATACATTAATGACGAGTGTTAATATATATTTATGACTAGTTGCCATATACGGGTGATAAAGACGTGATATAGTTTCTTTGTTTCTTTGTTTCTTTGTTGTTTAACATGGCACTCGGCGATATTGCCGCCAGATAACGGTGGTTCGTTATAAGTGACTGCGGGAGCACGGGTGGCCCAGTCGTCCAAGGCGCAGCGATTCGCTGTGCAGAGTTGCATCCCTTGGGCACGCCAGAAACTATGATTGTTGGTTCGAATCCCGGTTCGCCCCGATTATGTTTCTAGGTTTGTCAGTACCATACCCGTGCTCGTGGGTTTCACCTAAGTGGTAAACGTCTGAGACCTGCATCACTTCGGGCTTTCCTCCCATGTTTAGCTGACACGCCGTGATATAACAGGAATACTGTTAAAGCGGCATTAAACCCAACTCACTCACTTATCCACTGTCTCTGTTGTCAGCATCCCAATCCATTGTCCATCCTTTTTCTGTATCTGTATGCCTCTTTGCATATCTGTGGATGGATCTTGCACCACTGTTTTCATGTATTAGTGGATAAATCTGATCATACTAGTGGTTGGTCATGTCTCATGGTCATGCCAGTTGAAGTGATCTCATAGTCACTGACATGTTGTAAAATATGAGTTCAACACAGTCACTGCTGAGTATACCTGATAAATGTAATAGAGCCTGACCCAGTCACTGCTAAGTACACCCGTATAATGTAATACAGCCTGACCCAGTAACTACTAAGTACACCTGTATAATATAATACCGCCTGACCCAGTCACCAGGTTAAACCCAACTCACTCACTCATTCACTATAAGTGACTGCAAGGGTGACACGTATCTATGTAAATATACTAGTATTCACACATATGAGGGAGGGGTTATTTACTGATGACAAATGTCACCAACTGATTGAAAGGTATTTTTTCCGTTCGGATAGGTCCAGTGACTTCAAGGCAAAGGTTGCATATGCCGAAGGTGAATCCCGTGCCGTCCTCTCGTTTTGAAAAAGGCATCGTCACTCACTCAAGCGTGGTGCATATATTGCCAGAGTTTATTCTCAGCCGATTAAATGTTTTGAAATACTATACCATATATTATAATGCACTGCGCTTAAGCGGGAAAACATCTCATTTTCGTTTATAAAATTTCCCTCAAGTACAAAGGCCCAATCCCACAACTCATGTTGTCGCCTTGATGGCAACCCCATGTCGTCGTGGTTTATCGTCACTCTAACCAATTGGCTTTCCTGAACACGCTGAGACAATAATCCTCAACAAGATACTTTTTATCGATGGAATTATTTCTTGTTCAAATACCAGCATGAGGTAAATTCATATCCTGAATCTGGACAGTAATTCGTACGATTATGTAACCGAGTCGATGTGAGTTGTAACTATGTGTATAATATCATATCGCAGTGCGTCGCATAAATCTTCCTTAATCACCTTTAACTGCTGTTGTATCAAAGACTCATTTCATCTAAGTAGCAATAAAATTAATGATATTTTTTTAAATATTACAAAAGGAAATTGCCAAAGGTAAAGCATTTGAGACTGTTCCATTTTTAAGAGAAGCCTACCGTAACTAACTCATGCTTGTAAGTTGAGACAGTTTGAGCTGTAAGGATATTTTTTAATGGTCGGATTGTTGAGGGGTAATACTATTCACACGGAAACGGAGGGAGAGGGTGGTCCGGCCGTGCGGCATCACATTTAACATCAGGGTGTTACGTAGCGTGAAACCGCTGCCAACTTGTCCGTACTGATTCGTGAAAAAACTTTTAATATATTTTCATCTGAGTGTGACAAGGAATTACTTTACCTTTGAAAAGGAATCTCATTTCAAGTTTGTCCCAAGGATCGTTAGGTGCCAAGAGTTTCTAAGCTGTCCCCAGTTTCCATCATTTCCAAACCTATGTTTGCACAGTTTATCTCATTTAATGTGTTTCATACCTTGTGTAAGAGATTCATCCTTGGCGTGTAACGGGCCATGAAGCCGCTGATATGTGTCCCGAATAAGAATTGCCTGATTAGGGCACCCTGTCGCAGCACGGTATGCAACATCCAGCCACTAGAAGTAATTACCTCCATGCTGGCTTTCGCCATATTACACAGGCGTAACATACAACGGATATTTGAAGCAGGAAATTATTTTGTTGAACATAAATTAATTGACCAAAATTTATAATGGCATGGTTTTGATTGTTCTGTTTGAAATATCACATTTTTGCCCTGCTGTTATTTTACCTGATCTAACGAACAGCTGTTTTGGTTATTGTATAACGCTTTCATAATGCTCGTCAGTCGAGGTCTATGCATGAATGACCACGTCATGGGTTACACGATATTATGTAATTACTGATACATCCGTAATCGGGGGTAACACATTGCATCTCAGACTGTAACTGCTGCAGACAATTTATGATCATCATTTGTTTCATTTTCAGGTCCATTTCATTTGTTCCAGGGCATAGTCGGATCCAGAGGGGAGGTCCTGGGAGTCCCCACCCCAGCCCCCTACCCCCTCCTTTGAAAACTAAATGAATGTTGGCAGTAAAATTATCTGAGAGAGGATTTTATATTGTGGACCCGTCCTTTTTAAAAATGCTGAATCCGCCGTTGCAGGAGTAGTAAAAGACCAACCTTTCGATAATATGTATCATTTTGTATGGTAGATGAAACATATTTCAAAAAACTTTGTAATTGATTTGCTGCAGGTTCAACGCTCAAAAACATTCTGCGCCCCCCTACACGGTCGGATGGCGAGGACAAACACTCGGTTCTTCTACAAAAGGAAACCCTCTGTTGGTCAACTCGCTGCCCGTAATGCCCTCGCCCGGGCCCAGCTCTTCAACCCGCGGGCCTTTGAGAGAATGGCGACTGTAGGAGAGGCAGTGGGTAAGGCTGCATTAGTTGGTCATCAGACCAAGACAGACATGTCTTTTGCTGCAGAGCCTGGTGCCAGGAAACCACTCTTCTCAAGTGCATCTTCCTGGAGGGAAAGACGAGACGTGTTAAATGGAATCTCCACCAAAGGCGCGACTGCTGCTGCTGTAGGTAACTCTGCAGTGAAGGATTTGACAGAAGAGAAGGAACCGGCCTTCAAGATCAACAGTTTAAAGACAAAGACCTCCTTGGTTAACAGGGACATTCAAAAACATAATCCAGATGCTTCTGCGAAGAGGAAGTTATTCGTAAAGTCGTCCAGTCTTAGTAATCTTAACTCGCTTCCTAGAAAAACTCATCTGGGCGGTGGCGTGATGAGTGGTGGCAGTTCGAGCCCTAGGAACTACAGTGCGGTGTTGAGTATTTCAGGACATTCCCCGGATGGTTGTGAAGCACCTACTGCTACTGTGAGACCAGAGGTCAGGACGTTTGAGCATATGGGTGTGGATAAAATGGAATATCGAACACCGGAAGTGACCAGTGGGCTGCGCAATGGCTAGGGCGCTGGCGTCCGTACGTTTGGCCATCCTCGTATATTGCGCTTGCGTACGCTTGATATTGAGCTTAGACGCATTCGCAGACTTGCTGGCGTAGGAGGTCTTGGCCATTTCTAGAAAGCTAGTCTGTGATAGTTTGATGTGATGCTACATATACTGTGATATCAAATTATAATCATATATTTTACATCTTGTAACAATCATAACGATAATTTATGCAAATGACAGAAAAATAGTATTGTTTATATTGTTATTTTGACTATAAATGTCTTTATTTTTGTTTGCTCTCATCACTGAATAATGGTGAATCTTTGCACCGTTCAATTCTGAAATTGATAGGAACGTACTCTGGAGTTTATGAATTATGACCATTAAGATTACTCATCATTAGTATGCAAGAGGACAAACGGCAATCACTACCACACTGAAATTGAAGAGCAAGAACAAATGAGCGGTATGACCTATAGATAGTGCCTCGGATCTGCGCCTCATTGTATTGTGATGAGGTGCCGTCGTTGCTCTATTAATCATTACATGTTAATAACTCGTATTAACCATCTTTGGTATTAAGCACAGCTTGTAATTATAAGTGAATCATTGAAAACTATTTCTTTGTTTGGAATCTATAACTGCTTATCATTATCATAGCAAAGTTGCATTCTCTTGATTAGTCTTTGAGATGAAACCTCCGTTCCCGTGGGAATCCAGTATCTCCGGTCAATACATTGTCTTTAAATATACATAACGATAGTTTCTAATAACTGTATATAAAATGTGTTCAATACCATATCTGATACAGAAATATATATCAAAGAATAGTTGGTCTGGCGCTTACCGTTTTACTGATCTCGGGGCCTACTGCCCTCTTCCACGTTCTTTTGTTCAAGTTGAGGTATTATGCAAGTAATGACGACATTTCAATTTCTAAACTCGGCTTCATCGATAACAAGGCTAGAATTACTTGTGGCACCAGGGCGTTGTATTTTCAGTTTCCGTTTGGTACCCTCGATGCATCTGGGTAATATCCTCATAATCGTTGAATCCCAGTTAAGTGGAGCCATTTTCTCAAGAACTATAACTCGAAACAGAGGTGTGCTTCACCAAACAGGATGTGTTACCTGAGCCTCGATGGATACATTTATCGAGCATTATGTTCATAAAGGCAATTTTATGATGCCATGTCGATAACCATTCCATTATTTGTCCATTTGTCTTTCAGAATATCAATAATTATATCGCACGCAGCTAATCTTTTCAACAATAGAAGAAACAAACAGACAACACGTTTACTTTCTTAAAGACATCAGTTTTACAGTACCGCGACCGTTGTTTTTATCTTTATTTTCAAATCATAACGTTGTTTGATTTTTGGGGATTTTATGTAAATATTTTCCAATACTCTTTAGCCGTCTGTCCAGGGGGTTATATAAAGGTTTGTTTGATTCTTGCTGTTGAGAGTTTCACTGACTTCACTGGTTTACGACCGACGGGTATTTATTCCACCTTTCGCAGAAAACTGTTCCTGGAAGTGTTTGAAATGTGTCAGTCATAATCCTGGATGATGGTTTTTATCTGCATTGTCAGTAATCATTTGTCTCAGCGTGTTCAAACTTAAACATATTGGATGCTGCTTATGTACTACTCAAAAGAAATTAAGGACCAATCGATTATTCCATAATACTATAGTTAATCTGTCATGGCAACGATTAACTATAGTAATATGAAAGAATCGGGTGTTCCTTAACATTTTTTAGTAGGATGTGGGTGATGGGGTAGTCTGATAGTTAAAACGTTCTCTCTTCAGGACGAAAGCCCGGGTTTGATTCCAAACATGGTACGACGTGAGAAGTCTATTGCTGGCGTCCACCACTGGAGCCATGATAAAGGCGGCGTAAAACCATAAACTTGTCAACTCACTCACTCATTCTATATTTGAAATAACCAATACAGGAAGTCTCTGTTGCTTATAGTTTAGGAAACAAAACGTCTGTTGGTATACTATTATGAAACCTCGCTACTGTGCTCTATAAAGAAGGCACGAGTACATGAGTTGAGCCCCTTATTCGTACCAGGATCTTTCCATTAAATGTCATACCCCGTGCTCATTACTAAAGTGCTCAATGTCTGTGACCTACGTGACTTTTGCCTTTCCTCCCACATAAATCTGACATGACTTGATACTGGAAAAAAGGACCGCCTCTGTGGTCTAATGGTAGAGCGGAAGGTCCGGGGTTCGATCCCCAGCCGCGTCATACCAAAAGACGTTAAAAGATGGTACATGTTGTTACCCTGTCTGGCGCTCGGCATTAAGGGGCTAAAACAAGGACTGGTCGGCTCGGAGTCAGTATACTGTGTCTGAGTGGGGTATTCATGTTAAACTGCGGCATGGTATCTCAGTGTGCTAGCACTATAAATCGGCATCAGTCTGGACTAGTACAAGCAGCCACACACACACATACACGTGCATGCACGTCGCTATATAAGTGCAATAATCATGGACGCGACGTTAAACCCCATTTCACTTCACTCACTGATACTGGAAAACCGTTTTAAGCAGCATGAAACCCAACTCGCTCCCCCACCCGCTTTTCAAGTTTCCCGAACCGCCTGCGTGGTCTAGTGGTTAGAGCGTCTGCCCATAGAACGGACTTACGGTGGTTCCATTCCCTGGCTGCGTCATACCAAAACCCGTTGGCATAGGTGTTGTCGTAACCCTGCATGCTCCACATTAGAGGGGATTAAACAAAAAATGGTCGACTCGGAGTCTGTATAATGTGTTTCAGAGTGTCTCCATGTTAAACTGCAGCATGGTGTCTTTGTTGGCTAGCACTATGAAGTCCAGACTGGTGCTCACTCTCTCACACTCACTCACACCCACATAATTTGTAACGCGACGTTAAACCCCCGTTTCACCTCACATTAAACAATTGTATTAGAGTCTAGCGTGAAAGCCCGTAAATTCGAACATCTGCAGAAAATTAAAATGTTTTTCGTTTTTTTCACGATGACAATGAAGTAACGTCCTAAACCACACATCGCCCCTCAGTCGTAACAGAATCCAATACTCATGGGTTCGAATCCAAGGCTGTGTTCCTTGGCTTGTCAGCACTTAACCAGTTTCACCAAAGGCCTTCAAACCCGAGTCATTTTGGTCTTATTGCCATATACGCAGACACGCCGCGCGATACATGGAAATATTGTTCGAAGCTGTGCTGAACCCAACTGCACACTAACTGTTCAGATGGTACCACATGACGTTAGCTTGAAGTTTTGTCTCGGGATACAGTATGAGTAATAAGGGGTCCCTGTCGTCTGTGGCTGTGCCCTTTGTTTATACATTCACAGGCAAATCAGGATTAAAGAAAACACCTCTTCACTTTTTCACCCTGTATCGTATTCAGGTACTCGCCATACCCCGGACTAATCTTTCTTACTGTGTCGAGATAAACTATACCACGAACCTAACATTTGACCGTTAAACTGTCATTATGTCTACTGGTGCTGTACGCACGAGTTGCACATGCCTTTGTTGAAGGAGTACTGACTTGGAGACTTGACAACCTAGACACAGGGCACGGATCACGGGATTAGCGGGAGATTGAGGTGGCTTGCTGGCCCAGTCATACTTCTAGTCCCGACCAAGACCTTTTGGCAGTGTGGGAACTCTATATTATGGGGTGTAGTGTTTCGCCAATCTCTCGCCGCGTTTACGGTATTAATACACAATTTCTCGCAGATCTAGACCCTCGATTTGTCTGACCCCAGTCGTGTCTGGGGCAAGAGAGATTAACAGTGTAGCTAGCTGGGACGCTTGTTTGTGGATGAACCCCTACTTCTGGCCACTTGTTATTTGAGAAAGCTGGTAGAGGGCTCGTTTAGACTTACTTCAGACATACGGCTCCATTGTTGATCGTCCTGGATTGTTACAAGTGTATTGGATAGTTTCGATGTATTTATTAGTAGTGTGTTGTCTTGTATGTACAGTAAACTGTAATCTCCACGGATTCTGAATACATTGATGGCAACATTATTCATACTTTTAAATGGAAACAAATTCAAATGCATGGAATTCAGCTTTATTTATTGAAAGTCGTCATTAAGCATTAGACACTGGTGCAGGCCTTTATGTAACAAACACTTAGGTCACTCGCACAACGTTTACTCGCACAACCTTTTTCAGAGATACATGAAATGTAGATGTGCAACTGACGTGTGCAGAAAGAGATTTTAATGGTGGCGTATTTAGGCCGAGGACTACTCTAGGTCTTCCACCCTGTTGGTATGGCTCGATGACTATCTTTGCGGTTCACCTGTCTTTGACGAATGGTGTTTTAGTTGGATAACAACAGGACACTTAATATTATTGAAACTTGAACTGAAACAAAATAATATACTTAACGAGATGACGCGGAAAAGAATTTATCTACGTCAAATTTACAATTGAATACCAATTTTTTTAGAGGAAATGTGACAACTCCATTAACTATACTGATGGACAGAAGTTGGGCTTCTTCTTTTTTCAAAGCGATTTAGCTATCTGCAAGAGACATGAAAATATCGAGCACGCAGTTATGTAAATAAAATACTTATCAAATCAGCATTAAAACAAACTCACAAGCTCATACATCGAGTATGGCAAGTTGCTGTTTATTTAGGGGGGAAAAACTGGATTTCTAGTTCACTGCAAATTCTTTTTTCATTAGCATCTATTTCTGATGCCAGAAATATGATACACGATGAAAATATTGTCAGTGTATTTTCTTTATGTAAATCAGTAGTTATTGTTTTTACTTAATTTTCTCCAGCATTGTATATTACTTTGCGTCTTGTGTATCAATATATCTTTTATTGCTCTTTTCCCCATGCGATACTTCGTTTGGCTCAACACATAATTCCTGTTTAATATTTTGAATCTTTTTTATTGACTTGTGAAGTTGCAACATTATAGTAGCTTATCAATATTTCAAGTATCTGTTTTTTTAACGAATCGGTAATACGGAATTAATATGAATTTCTGCCAGGGACAGTTCACCGTGTTCGTTCTTTGTAGTTTAGTTGACAAATTGACAAATATGTCCCCGATTATATAAAATACCACATCACTTAAAGCACCCTCAACATCGTAGATTTGGCAGCGGGGTAGTCTAGTAGTTACAGTGTTCGCTCGTCACACCAAAAATCCAGGTTCGATTCCCAAGATAGGATACTGTGTGAATCCTACGTGAAATACTGATATGTCTGATCAAGATTCGACTTCAGAATATGCTGCCATATAGCTCCGTTGCCTGGAAATGTGTACGTTCCCAACGACCAGACACGTAAGCTTATCTGGATGAGGTATGAAATATGTACGACTCAAAGATAGTTGAGGATCACCCGGTTATTTAATATTACAAAAGTTATATGTCATGGCATGACATTACAAAAGTTATATGGCATGGCATAACTATTGTAATATGAATGAATCGGGTGATCCTTACCTTGTTTTTAGTAGTATGATATACCACCGCAATCATGTAGCTTGTGCATATAACGTGTGTATCAAGTGCTATCTAAAGCTGATTAACCTAACCGTCCTCCGCAGAAAAAATACATTGAATACTGACAGCTGATCGTGGCATACAGCTCGTGGTACCCCTAGCTTCTTATCTTAATGGTGACCGACACTTTGAACTTCATCCCGAGCGTCTGACAGAAAGCTCAATGGTTATTTCCACAACGGATTTAAGGTGAATGCAATGTGTTAAGGGTCAATACAAAACAAAGGAAAAAGGTTGATGAAATTCTGACAAAATTGTATAATGTTTGACCGGAGACGAGAAGCATGGCTACGGATCCGACGTCGTGATCTGAAGTCGCCTTCATTTATACAGGTCCCATTTTGCTAATCTGTTGAATCCATAAAACGAAATTGCGTAAAATACAACAATTTCCTTCTTTCATATACCTCCATACTCAATCAACGTTGTGCGCTAGACTGACAACCATGCAGGAGACGGCTTTTCATCAGCGCGACAGCATTGCGACTAGTCACTAGTTTCATTTCTCCATTATTTTGATTCAATTACAGGAGAATAATTGAAATATTACATCGTGCTCTAAACGTTGAATAGAATAACAAAATGTGCTTTTTGTGGTCACGAACGCGAGAGTGTATTTGCGTGTCCTATCATTACGCTTGTAATCACCCACGTAGGGAACGGGGGCCTCGCGTGCGGTGGTGAGACGATCGTGATTTTTTTCGGTAATATTTTTCTGAATTACTGAAATAATCACTATTGTACCATTTCAACTCCTGTTGCAGCTTCCTAGCCAGAAAATATTGTCATTTTCAGATTTCATCTGCATTTCGGAGAGCATACGCGAACATGGCACGGAGCCGCGAAACACGGCATTACTCGCAGACATAATGGTTTGGTGTCACGCTTCTGGCTACTTACACTGGGCCCAGATATATATGACGGAAAGATCAAATGGTTTTTGTGTGGATTGAATGACGGGTTAGGCCAGACACATGCTAATGCGTTAGTTGGGTGAACTCGGACACAATGATAAACCTTGTAACGAGCTTCGGTCATTCTCTATAGTAAAGTCGCATGAACTAGGATACATTAAGTCTTTGGTATCCTTTGTTTGTCTATTGGGGTTTGTTTAGTGTATACACTTCATTAAATTGTGCAAATGTCAAAAGAGTCGACTTATTAAATTATAGTGAAGATTGGACATGCAGCAAATTCGTCGTATCCACGGGCGGTTCCCCATGATCACTCGATGATCCAAAGAGCGACTACTTCAGAGTAGAGCAACAACTAACGATACATATATGAAATTGAACACCGTTATGAGGGATTTTGGTACAAAAAGTATGAAGTGAACGGGTGTATATGCTTCTACGCCGCTTTTCGCAACATTCTGGTAATAAAAGGGCAGGGACACTAGAAAAGGGTTTTACGCTTTGTACGCATAGGGGGATTCGAACCAGGGCCTATGACGTGACGAGCGAACGCAATACCACTAGGCTACCCCACCGTTATGAAATCAACTGTAATAAAGCTAACTATTAATCGCTTTTTGGCAGAGAAAGGTGTTTAGAGAGCAGCTAATTGTTTCGCGTAGCTTCAAACTGAGCAGGAGTTAACTCGTTTTACACTTTAATTAGAGGGACACTGCGTACAGTCTACATTCCGTGCACCTGTTTTTATGGAGTATGGGTTATCTCGAAAATCTAACCTTTCTGTTGTGTGAGTGTGTATTGTTAAATTACTCTCTTTATCTCGCGGCGTAGTCAAAGAAAGCG